CTGGAAGTAGGCATGTCGTCACCAACCATAGCAGAAGCAGGAGACTTGGTCTTTGCAGTCTTGGCCTGCAGAATTTTGTCATTGAAGTCCCACTCCGATGATTATTGTTTTTTTTTTACTACGTGAAGTGTTATCAGCCGTCTTTAAATTATGATTATAAAGTTTTTACTGTTACCTGTGTCATTTTTTAGGGCTTTTCTTCAGTAGCACATTAGCAGTTCGTCTCTGAGTCGTGGGCAGAGACAGAACTGCTCCGCACACTCCTCTTCACTCTAGCTTGCAGCCTAACATTGCCAGTGTTGTAGAAGTAGCAGGTTACATAGGAGCTATTCAGCTCTCGGACACAAATGTCTATAGGGGCATAATGAAAGCTAATATCATAATTAGCTTTCTTACGAGCATTGCAATCTACTAACGCACACGCTTGTTCCGCATTTGCAACGTAGGAAATCTCACTGTGTCTGAGCCTGACGTTTGGGTCTGCCAGAGGTTCATAGCCATTTGAATTTTTCACACGTACTTTTCTCATGATATGTCCTGTAGCATCAGAAAAATGCCATATGAACATGTAATCATCAAGACAAACATGATGATTTTCCGAAGTAAAGCGTTTTCAAAGTCCCCTAGTGTATAAAAGACGTTAGACTGAAGTTGACCGATCTGTCACCTCCAAAGGCTCCACGCATCATCTCTCTAATGCCTTGTAATAGCGTACAATCAATGTGCCATTAAAGAGACATAGAATACAGCTATTAGTAAATTAGGATGACTTAAGTTAGTAACCCTCACGCTCTGACGTAAGTTTGTGTTGGGTGTGTTTATGCTGCAGAGCGGCCAGCGTACAGCATACCTGCGGTGTTTCTCACTGAAAAGTACAGGGTGGTGCAGCTGCTCCCAAACAAGAGAGGTTAGAGCAGGCTGCAGTCCAAAACTGAGGCTGACTCTCACTCTGGCACCGAGCACTGGATTTGGAGTACAGCATGTGGAAGTGCTTTTGGCTTGGACCAGATCTGGGAGTTTAAAAAAAAGAAAAAGAGGCATGAAACAAACGGTGGCAAAAGCAGCCTCTGCATGAGGATAAAGGAGCTCGGACAAAGCACATTACTCTTCATTTTGTCACATTCGGCTTGCCAGGAAGCATACGGTGGAAAAACAACAAGCTCGAGAATTATGATGAATGCAGTCAAAAGGGGGAAACGCGGAACGAGCTGAATGCATACAATCTTTAAATTTAGTTTCATTTGAGAGAGCAGAGCGTTTTGTTTTTGATTAAATTACCGCTGCTGCCAAATTAATCAAATTTCCTCTGAGGTTCCCTCACGCTGCGCGTTTCATTTCAGCATGTGGTGATTCAGTATCAGCTCTGATAGCATGTCAAACTTGATTTTACACTTTCATACGAACATTTAATGAGTCACTTTTGGAAACGCTGACCTGAAACGCAGCTACCTTTCCTGGCTTGATTGCCTCCTCTTACAAGAACACACACACACACGGCCAACACCCAGGTCTATGACAGGCTCTGAACAGCGCTGAGGGTTATCATAAAGTCCATCCAGTCACAAGGCTAATATCACGTCTCCCGGGTGTGCGGATAACCATCATTTTCCTCCCTCTAAACCCTCCTGTTGGTCCCCAGAGTGGAGACTCAGCTGTCTCTTAAAGCCTGTTTTTACTTCACCCCTCTGCTGTTGTCACAACATTTTCATTACATTGCAGCTTAAGCCCTTAATGACCCCCTCTAAGACTAAACATGAGGTCAAACAGGGTGTAGCCCGGACAGGGAGCGGGAGAGGGGACAAGGGATTCGGTGGATAGCCACTGACTTAACACATCCACTCCTAAAATGTGATACAGGGGAAAAAATACAGTGGTGTGTCACTCTGTTGTGATAGCTTCTTTGTCTCTTAGGATGGAAATTTTCTGGTAAATTCAAGAAACTTTCCATGGGAAGTTCAGCCTGGGAATTTTGGAAATATTCCAAATTGGAAACTTTTCAGGGGAATTTATGGGAATTAACTGGAAATTGGTGGTATTTTAAACAAACTGTATTATATCCAAACATAAATGAAAATATTTTTGTTTTGTCATAAGCAGACATCCATGCAAAATAATACAATTTAAGAAAATTACACACATCTGATGGCGAATGGCGAACGTGGCATTTTTCTGTAGAATAAAATAAAAAAGCTTGTAAAAACACGAATGCAATGGCATGAACAGAGATATAGTTGGCTAAACAACTGGAATGGTCTTCAAAATATTTGACAATTGATGTATAAATTATTGTATAGTTACAGAAAATTGTCTTGCAGGAGTCAGAAGAAACAGCGTCACATTTTAGGTAGCTACCACCACCAAAAAAGCCCCTTAAATAGTCAATAGCTTACATTAAGCACCTATTTTTATTTAATTTTGCAAGTTAAATATTAATACTATTATAGATCAAATATATTTACCCCATAATATTGTCAAAACTTACTTGACTTTATATAGTTCGTAGGCTCAAATGTCTTGTCCTTTGGGCTAAAAAGTGTGGCCTCCAGGGTTCAAGAAATCATCTGTGTATGTGATGGAGGAGTGAACTTGCATTAAATCTGGTTGTTTTAGCCAAGATTATGCTACAATATATTTTTCCCAACTATATTTAAGTTCACTGTTGAGGGCCAAATTCCTATATATACCCCTTCATTCCCATTTAAAGAACTTTGAAAATTCACAGAGTTTTGCAACCCTACTTTGCATACAGGACCACTACAGTGAAATCCTTGTATACTGTTTGCTTACTTATCAACATTTTATATTCAATACCAGCATACAGCAACAGCCTTTGTTGAACTCACTGGTGCACTAATGTTTAAATCACTGTTATATTTGCTCAAGAAGAGTTTAAGAAAAATTAGCTTTAAAAAAGTCCAGCAAAAGTCAGGACTATTTGGGAATCCCAAAGCACTTTTTAAGAGGCGCACAAATGTGCATAACTCAGATTCAAAGACAGAAAAGAAGACGACGCAGTTTCAAGCTCACCTGGGTTGACATGACTTCACTCAGAGTTACATCTGTGCAAGTTTAACCTACTTAAGGGGAACATTTTATTCATCCTGAGCTTTAATAACACACAGACACAACATGAAAAGAAGAAGCACCGGAGGAAAGTAAGAAAAAGAGCCGGGGGTTCATCCTGAGTTCAGTCAGAGTCTGAGCTGTCACTCAAACACAATCTGCAGACACCACTTAGAGTGATGTTACAAGCTAGCTACTGCCAACAGCCGTCCTGTCAAATAATGAAAGTTAGAGTCTAAATACTCACAAAGGAGGACTGAGATCCTTCATAGACATGAGTCTAGTCAGCATATGCAAGAGTTCAAACTCAAACACTTAAATAATGCAAATCTCTAAACTTTAATTTCATTCACTGAATCAAAGTAAAATACTGTCTTCACTTTCAAAGTTTAACGTTTCTGTGGTGAACTTTTCACTAACTTTTAAAAAGTATCTCACTTCTCCTGATATATCTGTGTCACCTAAACAGCAAATGAGCCCATCGGAGGGAAGATAATATATTTCTAAATAGTGTAACTCCTACTCTCAAAATTCATTGGTCTGATCTGCCCACTGACGAAACGATTTACGGCACGCAAGCCGGAAGTTACGGCACTTAGACAGGGATACAAGAGGAGTGGTGTTGTTGCTAAGCTAGCCAGTGAAATCAGAGCAAAAACAAATAGCTCTATATGGCCGATGATGGGACGGGGTCAGAACAGGAGACCAAAAAAGCAAAAAGGGAAAACTAGGATAAATATTGGTAATTCCTTTGTGAGGTAGAGAGAGTTGCGGGGCTTGAAGGGATTCAAGTCTGATCCAAAATTTGCCTAATTCCTCCTAGACAGGTAATGTTATGTAACTTTTATTTTATTTTTGACGATTAGATTTATCGCCATATTAACTAATCTATTTGTTGTAGGTTTACTGTTACAAACGGGACGTAACTGTAGGCTAAAAATAGAAGTCACAATGCTACAACATTTCGTTTCACCAGCATTATGTTATATTTCATAGAAATGCATATATATACTTTAACTCATCACTCATCATCAGTATTCCATTAAGTCCCCTCTTGTTTCATTCGCCTCCAAAAAAACTACACTCCAGACTAAATAACTTCTAAGAGCTCATGGAAAATGCAGTCAGCATTCTGGCAAAACACTACTGCTTTTGTCCAGAGTGGCCGCCAAACGCAACGGAAAATGAAAACTGTTCAGCTGCTTTAAGTTTGTTGGAAAAGACTCAAATCACAGGCGCGTTTATACTTTATTGACTTCTTGTCTATTGAACAAAAGCATGTCAATGAAATGCATATAAATTTCACATTTCACGTCTATTTGTCCAAACACCAACATACCGCGTCTGAATGACAGCGAGCGGTAGAGCTGTATGTGAACTTAGCGTAGTCCTCGGTATCCTAATGGGAATGGCTCTGTGTGCGTGACCATAAAAAGGTTGTGGAGAAGCTTTTTCTAATCAACATGTCCTTCAAAAGCCAGGAAAGCTCTCTTCGCCAAAGCTTCAAGTTGGTTTGTGAGATTTATTGGTTGTGACTTTTGGCGCTTCCAAGTTGTTCTGCATTGGGTTGTTTTTATGTGGAAAGTTGTGGTTAACAGCATGAATTCTACCAGTTTAACATTTTCTGTAAACAAAATCTGTGGGATTTGGAAAAAGGACCCTTCAAATATTGGGACCGAAACAACTAGAAAGATATCCTGAACTCTGAAAAGAAAACTGGCTTGAGGGTCGAACACCAAAGCTTCATTGTATTAATCCAAAGTGATCATAACGACTATGAACTGAGAGGTTTTGTTCCCTTTCAAATCCTGATCAATCTGAGGGATCGGGCATTCCCCTGGATAAGCCTTCCCTCAATTAGGAGCTCAGTAATTATCCACATTATAAACTCCAGACGTGACTGCTCATGTTGCTCCTCCTGTCTTGTTGTCTGCGGTGAGGAGGCGTTCGGTTGCCGCTGTCTAACTCAGTCTCTAATAGTGTCAGTTTATCTTTCGGGTCTGGTCCATACGGCTGCTGGTTGTGCGGCTGCCAGCTCTGTGGTGCTGATTTCAGCAGAGCCGCGCTAGCTAAGCTCAGACTTGGGTGTGAGTCCTGTATGTGTTAGCTTAGTTTTCCACTCGAAGTCCAAATGAAATGATTGATGGCTGCGTGGGCTTGACGTTGGGCCGGGGTTTGTTTCACAGCCCACAGGCTTCTGAGGCTGATTAACTTGTTTACGCAGACAGAGACCAGGAATGGGTGGAGGCGGATGTAGAGACGTGGAATTTGGACGGAGGAGAAGATGGGTAGAAAGTGTCTTTATTGCTTTGAATTCACTGCTTCACTCCTCTTCTTTGGGGAAAGTAATTTAAGTCGTTTTGGAAAGAAAGGCGAGAAAACTGTCCGTCCTTTGATGGGCTAAGAGAGCAGATACACAACTACCTCTCCCATGTCAAATCTGCGAAATCAAGTGATCAATAAGGAGGAAACTTAAACTGCATTGCGGTTGAAACACAAAGCCGTAACGATGACATTCTGCTTCAGTTGTTTGGTGTTTGTGTGATATCTTTGGCTAACATCTACACAGAGTGTTGACTTGTGGTTTGGGGTTTTCATATGAGATAAACTGAAGCCCACAAAAGTGAGCTGCAGATCGCATTTTTCCATCCAGTGTGACAAAGTTTTCTTTTAACAGCCTAAGTGAGAAACTCAGAGGTAGATTATTATCAGCATTTGCAAATCAGAGAACTTTATCGAAGCAGGATTTATTTGCATTTCTCTCTCAGTGACTGCAACACCAACCCCCAATTTCTACCGCATCCAGAACAGCTACAAAAAGGCCGTATCCGCCGATCTGATCGTACCCATTCAAGTTAATGAATCAGTTTCCACCGGCTTCTTTCCGTTCCACTGCAGATCGCCAGACTCCACAGCTGATCGCAAGAGTTCTATTTTTCCTGGACGCCAGAGCATGCCAGATAAATTCAACAGAGATTATCCTGTGCTGGAAAGGAAGTCGAGCACAGACACAAAATAAAACATTCGGCTTCTTTTCAAAATAAAACACTGTGTTTCAGGCGGATCATATTTTACAACATGCAGGGACGAACAAGCGAAAAGTTTATAGACAGCATTTCATTCAGATGACACCATGGATGAGGAGATTTTAGAAGTCTAGAAATAGATTTCCTCCTCTGGAAGGACCCAATCTACTGCCTATATGGTTAGCCTATGTGGCTTAAGACAACTTGTTATCGCGCGATTGCGGGTTCTTGTGAGTTCTCGCAATTCCTGCTGTCCAATATTCACCACGAAATTCGCCTCACAAACAGATCCGGTAGGAATTGGTGGCGTAAATGACGCAAATTGGGCGGGAGCTGATAATGTCTCAACTTGAGCAGATATACCAGATATGTGATAAACAATCAGCGCGAAGTATGCCGGGTGACGTATGAAAATGGAGGGTTGTTCACAAATATCTAAAACGGAGGACAAACTGATCGTGTCAGTGTGTGGGTGCCTTTTCTTTCAATTACCGAAACTGGAATAAAAAGGAGCTCACCTGGAGGTAAGTGAGAGAGGAGGTCAGATTACCAGGGTAAATAATAAAAAATCTTTGTCTATCACTCGAGCCCGTTGGTTGAATTGGCAGGGATTACTGTTGAAATTACCGTTGACGCGCAAATGAAGCAAGCAAATACTATTCATTCTTGCGTCTAGATTCGCGCGAATTAGGCAAGTAGATGATTTTACTTGCGCTTGGTGTGAGCGCCCTGCAAAAGGACTATGGTGTTGAGTAAGCACGTACTCTTGTTTAACTAAATCTCTTACAGTAAAACTCACAAGTTTGTCTCAATGTCATTCCAAGAGATTTTTCTAGTTAGCTTACATTTTCAAAAGGTTTTAAAAACAGCACAGCTCTGTTACTTCATTTATTGGACCCCTTTGAAATTTGTGGTAATGCCCTTGAGCATTTCTTAATGCAGGCAAGACTTCTGCACCACCTCGCCAAAGATAAGAAAATATCTAAGAGCACCTGCTCCAAGGAAAAAAATATCCCCTGTGTGTAGGTTCATGAATAGCCCTTCGTACCTGTTAACTCCCTCCTCCTATCCTCAGCCGCAATTAGCTCACCTTTCAGTATGAAAGTCCTTCTTGGCCTGCCGGCCCGGGCAGCAGATGTTACGTTGGCCTGTTCACGCAGACATGCTTGATCCAAGATGATTGGCTGTAATTATAGGCTGTAAGCCGATAGTGGGGGAATAGGCGGCCCATTGAGTTGTCAGTCCTCCCAGTGTTTATGAATGCATTCAGGCACTGTCACGGGTACGGCCTGAGCAGCACCAGGTTGAGAGAGTGAGGGGAGGTAGCTGTGATTTCAATGGGAACACCTGGAGAGGTGGACCGGGTGAAACAGTGGAAGGTTTGTCAGTGTGTGTGTGTGTGTGTGTGTGTGTGTATTACAGTGGGACAATACTGCAGCTGATGTCTGTTAGGGATCATTACTCTGTACATTTCTGTATTTCTCATTGGAAGAAACTCGAGATTAACAAAATAAAGGTATTTGCTTGTTAGAGTTTGAGATTTCTGGGTTTACCAAGTCTGGTCCTGCACATTTTACATCTTTTCTGTAGATTCAGATGAAGTTTTCATTTAACCCTTAGAACTCCCAGCTATATTTTGCTATTTTTGGTCCGCCCATGTCTATGTAGCAACTCTGTCCTTTCCAGCACAGCAAATATATACACATCTTTTTTTTCAGGACAACCTCAGCTGTCAGTTGAATGTGACAGTAGATTCAGAACCATCAAAGTCAACCAAACCAACAGTACTTTGCTCAAAAAACACATGAATCTACAGTGACCAAGCCTTTTCTCACCTGCACATCATTCTGTTAAGTCTTGGCTATCAGGAGAAGAAATATTGGGATTGGAACAAACTCACAACAGAAACTATTAACATATTTACACTAATTTTTCCAGGTGTTTTTTTTGCTATTTACAGTTGTTTTTGCCACTCCTTGAAGCAGTTCCTGTCAGAGGGCCGCATCATACTGCTCATAATCTCTTCTTTGCTTGTTTCCAAGCATTGAGGACCATTATTTCTAATTTTGCAGACAAGCAGGAAACTTTCTTGTCTCTCGTTGATCTTTGGTTTCCTCTTATTGGACACTACCGTCAGGGGAACAATAGAAGAAGAATATGAGACCATGTAATTGGTCGAAGTTTGACAGAGAAAGACGCTATCAAAACAGCTTGTCTAACCCGGAAGACATTAGCGGCATTTAGCGATAGTGATCTTTTTCTATCACAACAATCTGATAAATAATCATGTTTTCACCAGTATATCACTGCGGATTTACCATCAAACGTCTCTGATCAAACACCTATTTTTGTGGCTCGATTGTAAACCTTGTGGCAGGTGTAGAAATGCCTGGAAACCCTTGATAGATCACCAAAAGGGTAAGCTTTTGAACACGTTTCATCCCATAGAGATATACGGTAGAGTTCCCAAGAAACTGTAAACAATATCAATGGTGTCACATGGAATCGCCTTCGATCCAGCTGAGTTCTAAGTGTTAATGATCTCCACCATCTTAAGTTTTGGTCGATTAAAGTTTCTTACACGATGAACTTGGTTTCCATCTGTTGAGTCCCAAAATGACCCTAAACTGTAATTCCTTCCCAATGAGTTTGATCCCAGAAGAAAATAAAGCTGGAAACCTGCCGCAGCGGGCCATCAGCTATTTGTCACCGGCTCAGAGAATGACTCACAGGTTTGTTGCATTGTCCCTTTAGACTCAAGCAAAACAAATTTAAGCAAATGACTTCAGCAACTTCGTCAGCGTGGAAGAAAAAAAAAGAGAAGAGAAGCTAGGGAGTAAGAGGAGGGGACGGAAATGTAGAAGAGAGGAGGAGAAAATCAGAGAGGGCTGTATGTTGGGAGGCACCTAATTGTCTACTGCAGCATGTAATGACAAGCTTACTTCACATCAATCTTTCATTATTAAGAGCTATTTCTGTCTTGATGCAGAAGGCAAACAGATTCATCTTCAGGATAGAGCTGAATTAGAGCGGAGATGCTGATCTGTACACAAACTAGCTGAGAAGCAAACAGGAAGATGAGAGCTTCTGATAACCTGCAGTGAGAATTAGTCGAGGAAGTTTGATGAGATTAAATCTGTCGTTAGATATTACATCAATTTACCCCGAAAGTTATACGTGTCTTGGTTCATTTGTATAATCTCATAAAATTCTCCCTATGTTAATATATGGTAAAGTAACTGAGCATCTGCATCCTGTCCAAGTTCTGATGAAATTTTGAACAAGTTGCACTTTTGCAGATCCACATTTTCCACCCTAATATCAAAAAAGTTTGGATATTATGTTGATAGAAACAGAGTTCGATGGCTTGTACATCGTTTAAACCAATGTGTTTAATTAAAACAGTCAAGATGTTGTCACACTCTGTTTTTATGATGCCCAAGCTGCTTTTAATTTAGCATCTAGACTCTTCTACTACAGAGTCATTCTGGTGTAATATTCAAAGACTGTGGATTACTGCAGTTCTCCCTCTGAAATCAGCAAGGTCATCCCTGAAAGAAAATACACATTTGTGTTCAAAGACATCGATTTCTCAAAGAGATTTTGAGTTCATGCAGTGATTTCCACTACAGAGCCATGTCTGTTTTTAATGCAGTTTGCAAGGGGACATGAACACCATGGCCGTTCGGTGCTTTTTTGGCTTTATCCCTTTTGAAAAGAGATTTCTCCAGATTCTAGATTTTATGAAGTGCAGATGATGAAATCTCAAATTCTTCTGGCTTTTATAGAAGAACCGTTTCATAAATTTGGTTACTAACCTGTTGCAAATGAAACTAATTGTTGGAAAATGTTCCTTAATGTGCTTTTGAAGCATTGTGGAACTTTTTTAGTGTTTCCTATTGTACATTTATCAACTATTTTGACATGTGGTGATAATCCAAAATCCAAAATGTGTGTTTATTTCTCATAAAATTATTAGTTTTGCATGCTAATTTGTTGTCTTTGCTCTGTTTTTATCTGTAAAGGTTTTAAATGACATGCAAACCATCAAATTCTGTTTTTAACAGCATCTGATCTTTTTTATGATTGGGGTTGTAGATAAAACTCCTTTCTGTGTGGGAACAGTCATTATTTTAAGATATCAGAAATGTACCATAACATATTAAAATTCAATAAAGAAATCTATGTGGTTTCAAACACTAATGCAGATGGCCACTAACATCAAAAATTGCACATCTAATAATAATAATATATTCAGTTTTTTATGATATTGATCCGACTTTTATAAAGAAATGTGATTTTTAATGTCTCACCCCTCTTTGGTTCACTGTGTCAAGTCAGCTCCCATGAGTTTCAGCCGTTTCTGAGGCCATTTTACCTTTGAGAACACTGCCCCCTATCTTTGAAAAGTATATCGCAACTCATCAACCCCTGTTTATGAGCCTGAGAGGGAGAGAGAGAGAGCTCTGCTGATTCAGAACAAACATGATAAATGACTGGAGAGAGAGGAAGATTAAGTGAAACTTTTAATTAAAAACTACTGCTTCACTCTCTATGTATTGCACACTACACCGCCCCATTCATCAGCTATTAGCGTGCATCAGTGAAACATTCCTGCGGATGGTCGAGACTGAGTGAGCTGGGCGCCGCGCCAAGGAAGGTCGGACAAGAGGATGAGGAGGAGAGAGGATCAAGAGTGGGTAAATACAGAAAGAGAGGAAGAGAGGGAGCGAGGGAGAGAGACGTCTGTGCGGATTTCACTCATCTCCGTCCTCCTAATAACCCCACTGGATAAAATATGCTTTGAGTGGAGATGATTACCTCTTTATCACTGTTCTCTGTATTTACCCCCCTCCCCCTGCTCTCTTCCTCTCTGCAGCTTGTAGCTCCTCTCTCATCATCCTCTCTGCAAAATAAGCCTCGCTCTCACTGATGCCGTTCACTTCTCAGAAGTCCCCAGGAGATTAGTACTTTGAACTTGTGCGCCTTCATTTAAACTGAACTTTTTTTTCCCCTTTCTTTAAAGGTAAAGTACATCAGATGACAAAAAGAAAAAAAAAAGTTCTCGCAGCTACAAAACTTTTATTTGTTCATTCAAAATCTCATTGACGTCTGAGGAATTAGGATCCGTGTGTGACTTCCCTCCTCCTGCCCTGGAGCATCAGGATGGTGTGTGCTTCACTCCTTTTGTCTAGACGGTGGCGGTGCATTTTTAATAGGCTACACCAGGATGGCATCATATTACCAGCCCACCAACCCCCCTGGTAAAAAACTTCAATCTTCCTCTAACAGCGTCTTAATCAAATAAAGAGACTCTAATTTGTATCAGAGATTGCTAACTGGGCTGCATTACACAACACCCTAATTATGAGTAGAAATTGTCTGCTCCGAACAGAAGCTGCAGGAGAAACACAAAGCCCAACCAACACTCAGTTTTGCCTCAAAGATACTAAAAAACACAGATTAATGAATTCAATAGATGTTGTCTCCTGTTTTCAGTTTTCTTACTTAAACCAGAAACAACCTGTGAAAACACAGAAACTTCTCCTCACTAAATGCAACTTTGTTTGCTCAGCAGCACAAGAGTTGATTAAATCTTTTAACTCAAACTGCTCGTGTTCATTAAACTGCTTAATTCACACCTAATTAGCCGGATGTTTGGCTGACGACTGTGATATAAATTTACAACACGGTGAAAACATTCACAAAGTTAGTCCAAGATTTCTCAAATAGAGGAAAATTATGACGTTGTGACTTCAACTCCTTTCTAGACTCACAATCGTGGGTGTGCTAAGAGTCGGTAATTTATTGATGGGACTCACGCACACATTGAAGAACGTCTTTCCCTGTACTACCTCTGGTAAAACTGGTGAAACAGATGTTAATTTGGAATACACGCCCACAGAAAAACCTCAGTAGGTTATGCGCTGCATATACACTACCCACCCAGTAAAAAGTGGTTGAGAAGACGTCTTCCCAAACAACGTCTAAATTCGGACCGTCTAAATGAAGCCCAGTTTTCAATGTCTTTTTTTCGGGCTAAATAACGGCCATGACAGGCTGACACAAAGGCGTCTAAATGACAGTGGGTGTTTGGTTGATAGTAAAGATGTGGATGAAGAGCATTCATGGAGCACAAAAACGGCAGTGTCCATATTTGAAATGCTAACCTCAACCAACTCCTAATCAAAAAATGAGCAAAGAGTGTTGGAAAAACACTCAGAAAACAGTCAAAGTCGAGCATGATTTACTAAACACAACTAAACAGGGGATCACAGAGCCTGCAGGTAAACACAAACACAGGTAAACATTGCATAGTGATATTTAGAGGCAGGATGTTTACGTCTATGTTTACTGCATGCAGGCGAGGCGAAGTCAATGATGCACCTCTGAGGTAGTGAAAGAGACAAGAACCAGAGGAAGAAGGTAATGTTGAGTAGGCCTAACCCGGGATTTCCACCGCATCCGGAACAGCAGCAATTTTCGCCGTACGCCAATTCCTACTGGATCCATTTGTGAGGCGAATTTCCTGGCAGATGACGGACAAAAGGAATCGCAAGAACTCACAAGAACCCGCGGATTCACGTGCAAAGGTGAGATGACAAATTGTCTTTAGCCACACAGGCTAACCACATAAGCAGTAGATTGTGTCCTTCCAGAGGAGGAAACTACTTCTAGACTTCTAGACTGCGATTGGTGGATATGGCCTTCTTGTAGTTGTTCCAGATGTGGTGGAAATTGGGGGTTTGAGTCCTGCACCTGCTGCCAAGTTTACACGATTTAGAAGTTGAATAGTACGGATGCATAGCTAAGAAGCCGGATAGTCAGTGGTCGAAGGAAGAGAGTAACAAAAACGAAGACAAAACTGTTGAACTAGAGGCAGAGAACTGTAAAAGTGACTGTTCCTCATCCCGTTCCTAACGCTTTTTGTAGACACATTGGTAGTACCCAGTTAAAAGGTGGCATATCACCTGTACTGGAATCTGTCAAAATGGTTCATTGAAGTTTCTGAATTTTCCTGTTGACTTCCTTTTCTCAAATCAGAGGCTGTCACCTAGCAACACAATATCTCAGAAATTACAAGTGGGGGAAATTTCTCTCAGATGTACAATTTTTCAACCCCAGACAGGCTTTTCTGTCCTTAAGGAAAAAAATCTAAAAACATTATTTTGTGGTGCATCAACTGACTTAATCTACAATAATCTATGAATGTTAAAGAGACCCCCTTTTTTCAACAGCATTTGCCCATCATTTGACCCTCTCCTTAAGTATGCAAACCATTTACTCTACTGAAAAGCCCGTGTTGTTCTCCAGCGACGCACATCGCACTACTGTAAAGAGCTGTTTTCGCAGCCAAGCAGTGCCATGGTGGCCTGAGAATCCCATTGTACGCGCAGATCGTCGAGCAGAGACTGTTTTCCCAGCTGTCTCCGGCACGCCAGGCATGAGAGAACGACGGAGGAGTGACGGATCCGTATCCCAGAGGATTAGCATGCAGAAGACATCCTGGTGTTGGGCAGGAGCGGATTTAAAAGCACTTTGGTGATAATAACGCAACTCTGAAGTTCGGCAGTCTGGGGAGGAGGAATCGCAGGACAAGACCCCTTTAGGGAAGAAAGAGACGAGGAGGGGAAAAAAGTGCACGGCCGGAGAAAAGAAAACACAACCTCATCCCTGCACTCTTTGAACTGGGAACCACCTGCTCGCTCTTAAAACAACTTGTCTGGCTTTTTATTATT